TGCTGTTCCATTTGTTTTGAATGCACTCCAAATGAAATGTATTTTAAGAGCTCCAGCCATTAGAAAGAGCCCTCACCACTGAAGTGCAAAACCAAACCTTAATTAGGAAAATTATGATTGTTTGGTGCACGTTTCCAAATTGCTTCACAATTGGCTTTTATTTCACCATCTGAAGATTTATATACTTCAGCCTGTCCACATTTAGAAAATGTCAACAAGCCATGGAGCAATTTAAAGCAGGCCTCTGTAAAAGAAGACACATCTATCACAGTGTTACTGGCAGAAGATTAACTGGTTGACATTTCTCTCCACTAAACCAGCACAATAGGACTTGATTCAGACGATTGTCCTGTCAGACACACAGTGCATGATGGAGAATATAATTAAGTCAAATATCTGTCACGCATCTGATTTTGTTCCCCAAAGGACTCTAAAGGATTGTGAGTTGACTTTGTTGGTGTGTTATTAAATGTCAAGGACGCTGTGCAATTATGTTCCTGAAAATGTCCTTTCAGTCAATTTGTCTATAAATCATAAAGTAAGAGCTGTATGACACACACACTTCTCCATGTAGTGAGGCATGTTAGATGATACATGCCCACACAGCCCCACGTTTCACCTGTTATAATGCCATGCAAATACAGGCAGAATAATTAGCAGTCTAATAAGGAAAGCTAATATTTGCTCAACCCAAATTGCCCGTTGTGTGAGTCCAGTCAACAGCGCTGGAACAAACAAGAGCAAACCTCAACACGGGGAAAGGTCATGGGATCAATAATTCATTTAAGATGCTCCCTGGGATTGACTCTGCAGTCGCCTTGTAATCAGGGGAGAGATTTATTTATCTTAACCAACTTTAAATCCACATTCCTACGCTAGAGAAAACATTGCCACCTCGGTCGATTTTCAGTGCCCTCACAAGGCCACGAGCTTTTCTGTTTTATTTACCCCCCAGGAGCTGGCAAAGGAGCGGCTCTTTAATAATACTGCAACGGTGCACTAAGCATCTATTAAGGGAACTTTGTGGAAGGAAAGAAAAGAAAGAAAGGACACATTCAAGGGCAGAAGTGTATTTACAGGGTAAACAAATGCAAACATAAACTGCAAGGCATGGTACTTTATGCTCGCAGTGAACACCTGCAAGTGAAAACATTAAAAAGCCTGGTACAATTTATTAACAGAACGCCCTTGTCCTTCTTGATTTATTTAGAATTATTATGACATATCTCTGGAAAAGAACATGGTTTGCAATGTTTTCAAATATGTATCATTTACTTAGCAGGGCATCTCATATGTGCAACACTGACTGGATATCTGACTCCTCGGATTTAAATAATGCAGCCCTGCTGAGTGCAGGCTTCTGGAGGCTATGTTGGCTCAAACGCTACAAACCTGCCCGGTCTGAAATATTTACCAAGACGCTAATCAAAGAAATGTCCAGGTGTGAAAACCCCAAAATGCAATCCCTTGAAGAAACGATTCCTACGACACATTTTTACTGTTTTCTTTACACATTCTTATCCTCCAGCTGATGTGCGTTTATGTATGAACTGTTAAATTTCTACTGTCGGGATCCTCTGAATATTGCACATTGTTCTAAAGGACAGATGTTGGTTGAGTGAGTGTTCGGCTGAAACAGCTGTCCGTAATAAACAAATGACTGTAAAAGAGGCATTTCATAGGCAATTGCATCAAGGACGCAGCAGTGTGGAGTTTTATTTCAACATGTCACTCACTTTACTTTCAGCCGGCTATTAGCCATATGGTTTACAGTTTGGGGAACATAAACAAGTTTGACTGACAATCCAATCAGACTGTCAACGCCGTGTCAGTTGTGATGTTAATGTCAGCCTCAGACAAAACATATCTTAGTTTTGTTTGAGGGATTTTAAGCATCTCACATGTTGTTCACCCTGCTCCCTCTGTTCCTGTTACCACGTTTTGTCTCTCACCGTGTAAATACCTGCCTGTAGATAATTTTGTAATACAGTGCGTCGGCGCGCGGAACGCTTAGTCTGCCATTCTCTCTAAATTGTTAAATTGGATTCCAAATGCAATTATCTGCCAGGGTAATTCATGACAGAGTAGCTTGCCGTAACTGCTCATTTGAAAGGATGCAGAGTCATTTATATGTCATTTTGGAACAATACCGTATCTCTTGGAAGCTCTAAGCTTTGTCGGGAGAGGCAGAAATGAATGATTGGTGCCTTCCAATAACTAGTTCCAAGGAGAGTGTTTAAAGCAGTACTGTAAGCAAATGTCTGGCCTAGATCTGATTAGTAATGAGCTGGATCTCCATGATTAGACAAATCCATCACAAATGCTGCTATTTGTATAATGTTTGCACAACACGGGCATTTTCATTCAGCATGGGAAGCTTTTCCTGGGAACTTATGTAGCTGGCAGATGGAGTCTCAATATCAAGACCAGTGTGGTTATTGCACATTCTTTGAAGTAACCTAAAGTAGGCACAGGGAGTTCTTTATCTGTCTCAGTTTGACGTGTAGCAGGGAAACGCTTACTTTTTTCCCTTCTTAAGCCACAAAGCGCTAACAAGAGAGAATTGTTTCTGATGCGAGACTTCAAGAATGTGACGTTTCCACGCAGGCTGCAAGTGGAGTAATCCAACTAAAGAGTAATTGCCGTGGCATTGTATTGACTTTATGCATGAGGGAATTCAAATCACTTCAGTTCTGTAGGATTGGAGCCAGTACTTGAGTCAAGCTAAGGTATTTATGTGAGTTCATTTAATTTGGAGTAAGACTGCAATGGTCCAATTAATGGATTAAAGGGATGTGTGTAAATGTAATTGTGTGAATCTGCTGACTGCTTATGAAAAGATCCGAGGGGGAATAGAATAAACAGCCTACTTTCAACAAATTCTGTAAACGTACGCTTGAGCCAGGCACACCATATAGCTAATCAGCGGCCGACAGGGTGCGTGTGTATGTGTGACTGTTTCTATTATTGCAGCGCTACGCCTGTAGGCTGTCAAATTGGGTTGTTGTTAAAGCCACACACCTCTTCTTTTATTTTTCATTACTTCTATCTAATGTAATTTAATTAGTGGAATTCATAGAAAAGCAAGCTACATTTAGCTCCACTTGACATGTAGACTACATTGCTACGATGACATGCTATCAAAGCAAATAACACAGAAGTTGGAAAATTGGAAGCCCAGTACGTGTTACAGAAAGTCGTTCATTTTAATTAACCAGGCATTGAGGACAAGTCACAACATGAGCGAAAATAAGTATTAAAAGGTATATGCAAATGCTTTAGTTGATTTTTTACAATTCGTGTGTTGAAAAAAAAAACAAGTACTGAGTTCAAGCAAACAGACCATACTATTGTCATTATGGGTTTATTTGTAAAACTGGTTCTCGGTTGGTTTGTTTTTGCTTGACTTGTACATAATGCAGCGTTTGAAATCACATAGTTTCTCCCCCCTTTAAGTCTCACATTGGTTATTAATGATTTATATTTTTCCACTGAATTGTATTTTTGTTAAATATTTATGAGAATTTCATTTTAAGTTTTAATGATTAGTAAGGTTTTCTTTTACCAATAATATACAGTATTTAAACCGAAATATTTCCAATCTAAAAATGTAAATCACTTTCAGTGAGACCTTTGCAAAGTGTCTGAGTTTGTGAATGCAGTCTTATTGTTTTGACACATATCCTATTAAGCTTCTTAACTAATTATATTCATGTAGCAAAAGCATCCAATGTTTATCCCGCTCTCTAATCTGTTCATTCATTCTCAGTTAAAGACAATAGTACAAAATAAACACAATCTCAAACATCATTTTTATTCTCCAAATATACAGAGCAAAAGCATCATAGATTCACAGACCAGTACAGTTATAATACAACCATTTTCTTTTTTTCTTAGATACAGAGGGCCACTGCCTGAAAATAGTGGTTTACCCGGTAGAATGTACACGTTGTCTTTTTTTATTACAATTAAGCTTACGGATCACTATTTATACAAACTCTCAAAATGACCATCTACAGTAAGTTAAGTACTTTTTCAGACCTGGGTCATGTAGCATTTGCAAAGTAGTTTGCGTTATCTGGTATAAAGAACAATTCAACCACCAATTCACACAGAAGCATATTCATTCGACCTTCGAATGTTTTTACGTGATTTTTTTCAGTCTTCTGAGACTTAGCGTAGGACGTCTGCTGCAAACCAAGACACATTTCTGCTGTGCCCTGCAAACTCGGATCATTATTTGCAAATACTATTTAATCCAGGCCCCTTTTTCAGTTGTATGGTATTAAAGTACTAACAAGGTATTGATTGGTAGAACCGAAAATAAGTGAAAGAGAGAAACAGAGTGAGAGAAAGCATTTACACAGTAAAGAAAGGGTTATCATGATCAATTCAATGTTCAAAATGGCATCTTCCTTAATGGGTTCCCTCATGGACAGTGACACTTATCATACAATGAGGGAGACTTCAAAAGCCTCATGTAAACCACCCTTTGCAGGCATAGGCGAGATATTGGCAGTACTAATGTTCAGCATTTTCTAATCGATTTTTTTTTCTTCAGTTTATTCAGACCAAGCAAAAAGTTTTGTGCAGTAAGTAAACAAATATAATACAGCCAGTGGGCAGAGAAGCCAATAAAAAACATCTACCAACACGTCTTCACTTCACACTGCTCATACCTGTCTCAGATATCCAGTGCACCGCATGCTAGTCGTTTAGCATCTCTGAGAAATAGACTGCCTCTGCTCTGAATGGGTTGCTTTGTTTTATCAGTAAAGGGCAGCACCCCCTTGTAATTGTTCTGGGTCTTTGTGTTTATTCATCTGTTATGCCCTGGCATCTGTGCGGTGCTTGTAGCCAGGCAAACAGTCCGAGCGTCCACAGGTGAGCGCGGCACACACATGGGCTTTAATTCCCAAAGACGGACATGGCGCACACATCCTGTGGTACACTCATGTCCATTGTA